TCCCAGAACCCCAAAATAAGTTGCTGGCCAGTCTTTCCACGGCGGGGAGAAAGCGAAAAGGACATGAGGCTAGAGATGACAGTGGGAAGCGGAGCCTATCGAGAGGCCTTATCCAGTCTGTGCGTTAGGGTCAGCTAACAGATGAGCCTAGCATTTGTCGTGACTGTATGTGAATCAGTTCGGTTGCAAATCGATACAAAGATTGTAGTGCTGTGCTTTCGCTCCTCCGCTTCATCTGCATTTTCCAAATACTCTAAGAGTGAGTGCCTGGAACTTGACCAATTTCGGGGTCGCATGGCCCATATAGACATGGATGCTTTTGGAGATTTTGGCACTTGCTTGAATGAGTAATTGCAGACGCCGACTATATGTCCCGCGGGCCCGATCGTCGCGCGACGGCGTGGAGTAATACGACTCGCAAAATGGCTCGTACCGCGCTTCGAGCTCCTCGCGCTCGAGATGATGCGCCTTTTCATGGGTCCTGGGCGCCTTACAGTTCTTGACCTTAACAGACATATAGCTCATGGCGATGACGACCAGCTCGTCGAGACTGGTGCGAGAAAGGGAAGATGCTACCTTTGCAGTTGTTAGCGCTCAGGCAGCATCTAATGTATTCTTGGCTTTACTCAGAACGAGTACGCATTGATGGCACAAATGGCCAAGGGACTCTCGTGCTGTTGAGTTTGGCAGATTGTGTCACGACCGGCAACAAGCATGGAGAGCCTGCCTATGATAACATTACCCCAGCCAGGCGAGTGACTACGTGCTGACGAAAATCTAGAGCGCATTACTGCAACCTGCGTGGGAAAAGTCAGATGTTCAGCGGCTAATGATGCTCGCCTTTGACGAAGTCGCACACGGAAGATGGGTCACGTAATTGGGCCGCGTTGTGACGGCCGCCTCCACCGACTGGCGCAAGGCCCTGATGGTGACGCAGAAGAAGAGTCACCACACAGGGTTCATAAGAGATTAAATCAGTCTAATACGTCAACTAGAACAAAAGCAGGGAAATAGTATCTAGTATATAGCTGTGTCAAGTGACAGAACTAGGCGAATCTGTGTTATAAACAGGCCCTGCCCCAAGCGTCACGTGAGATCTTTCTGCATCTCACGGGCGGCGCGGTGAGAGTCCCCCGGCCAGTGATTGGCTCTCCAGCCGTACGGGTAACCTGACCCGGTTCCCTCAGGTACTTATACAGCGTACCCACCAACGATGCAACTAACGGTTGGGACAGAATCCAGTTCCTAGGGTTTGTTCCAATTTTAATACCACGCAGTTCAAAAAGGCTATTCCCAAGCATGGCCATCACCGACGGGGCAGGCCAGTCAAGTGTAACGCCTCGTCCATACGAGCGCCCAACAAAAGCCCGCCTACTCGTAGACTGCTACGACAGCGATGGTAGCGACTGCAACGATGGCAGTGACAGCGGCATCGACACCAATGGCCGACAGAACGATAACGCAAACCCGAGGCCAGGTCGGTCTCATGAAGGTGAAACCACCGGCAACGTAGAGCACTCATCTGAGGGTTGCGTCTCGCCAGAGCTGGAAGACTCCAATGGGAGCGAGGGGCCCGCTTGGCAAGCCGGCAGGACACACATAGTGTCAAATGGTGGCCACTCTGACAATGACAGCATCGCAAACTCAGGTATACCCGCTCAGATGAAGGCATCCAATGAGCGGGATCACACAGCACTTGCTGGCAGTGCATGCAGCAACAACTACCCAGGCCAATCCATTGCCAGTCTGCTTGTCGACCTGCAGTGCATCAGAGAATACCGAACGTCCGCATCTGACAAATGCGACACGCCATATTTCGAGCTTGAGTGCCTTGGGCAGGACGGCCAATGGTATTGGATTGCCGAGTCTGATGTCCAAAGGTCTGTTCCGTCTGCGGTCGGCACGTTCTGGGGCTGCGGGCCGGAGGACTGGATAGCCCCAGAAACTAAAGGAGGAGAAACGGGACGGGAAGTCTGGAAGCGACCGCTGGCGACGGATGGCGATGGTGTTCCGGATGCACTCTTGATCATGGGCCGCAAGGCCTCTCGAGGCGGCCAAATCGAGTATCTCATGCAAAAGGTGGGATATCCTGCAAGCCAGCCGACATGGCACGATGAGGAAACTGTGAAAAAAAGGTGCACTCATGAGTATGAGAGATACCGGTTGAATCACACCCACTACCCCGAGCTGATGGACGGACAAGAGCCTCAGCTTTCCGCGATTGTCGGCCATCGCCTGAACGGCGAGAGAGGCTCCCAAAAACGAGTCCAGCTCTCGTGCCAGTGGACAAATGAAACCGAAACTTGGGAAGCCGAAGACGAGGTGCAGAAGAAATACAACGCAGCTGTTCTGACGTATTGGCAAAGCGATTTAAAGGCTCGTCACTCCTGCAAGGTACCAAACCGGCGCCTGCGAATTCTAGGGCATGTAGAATCCCGGACTAAGCTGCTCTTGAAAGTCCAGATGGTGGGTAGGTCCTCTTGTGACGGGTGTGCGACATGTGGGAGCCTTCCGTGTAGCGAGAGTTCTAATTGCAGGCCCAACGTCCCACGAGAGCCAGTCGAAAGACTGCTATTGAAGTGGCCAGAAATAACGGAGAAGTATTTGGAGGACCAGGGTCTGGCGGTCTACAACAAATCCAGAGTCAAACGGCGGTCAGAAAGACTACAATATCGCAAAGATTAAGATTACGTGCATTTTGACCTGAATAGCATGACATCTAAGAAACACGCTTTTAGATACAGTATTCGAGTCGAACTCAATGGCATTATAGCTTTACATCAAAAACTTCTGAGCAATCATCTTGGCCAAAGGTCCGATGATCTGGTCATGTGGTGGTGCCAGTAGTCCCGAGAAGGTGTCTGCGTTGGCAAATCGTGTCAGCTCATTGACGTAAAAGCGATGGTCTGGTGATATTCCGCAGTCGTATCGTGCGCCGATCTGCACGGTGTCAAACCTGTCGCTCCTCAACTGGCGGATGCGAGAATCGGTGTCCAATATGAACTGCAACAGCTCATCGTGCTTTTGTTTCCTGGTACACTTGTCGGGGGAATACCAGTTAAAGTCATTATACTCGTTGATGTCGAGTTGCCGTAGCGCCATTGGCTTGCCAGGTAAGTTTTCGTCCTCCTTTGTTCTGAAAGCGCATACCACCCGGCCACCGCACACCCATACCCTAAACTCTCCGGTTTTTCGAAACGTTGGCACGTATTCTTGGTGAAAATAAAGGAACCTGTGGAGCTGAACGCCTTGGTAACGGCCGCGCTTCTTGTATTTAGCTGTTTGATCCGGCACTGGCGCCTTGCACAGCAGTTTGTCGCGTTTTGTCATGGCCACGACTTGAACCTCTCTGCCAGCACAACTGTGACTTCTCTTCAACACCATCTTGCCGCCCTGCGGCTGAGTGAGCAAACATTCACCAACGCCAAAGCACGTCTTGGGTCGCCAAGTATTCGACCCCTGAGCAAGATCATCCAGCGTCCTGATATCGCCCACCTTTTGCAGGGTCCACGACCATTCTGACTTCGTAGGGTACACCCTCACATTGGCTCTTACCGCTTCAAGATAGTCAGTGACTCTGTATAAGTCTTCCGCGGTCTCGTCGCAGCTAGTGTTGGATATGAAAAGGAGCACCTGATCGTGATTGGACGCCAGAGCTTTGCGCGTGAAGGCCTCTTTATCTGACTTCCAATTGTAGAATTCGACGGTTGCGTTCAACAGGCGGGCCACGAAAAGTATCATCAGGACGGACTGGTGAACATACACCACATTGCGAGCTTTGTCGTCATCGAACTCAAGGAAAAGGGGGCCCAATTTGTCTTTGAGATCTCCCATTAGATCTTTGGAGACCGCTCCAAATGGGGAATCGACCTCCTCAAAAATTTCCAAGTCTTTGAAGCAGATTGGGACGTGGAGGTAAGGGTTGTGCTTCATCGTGTCAGGCCCGGTAGGTATGCCAACCCACATAATATGTCGCGAAGGCGTCATACTTGGGCCCCTATTGTTCCGCTTCTCCTGAGCCCCTGGCGTCCCTGGACGGTGATTATGGCTGTCGAGCTCCTGGCACAAGAACGTACCACCTACGGGGTTGATTGCTCGGAGCTGGGCCACAAAAGACTGAAGATGTGGATTAGCTGGCAGCTGCCAGTCTTTGTGGCTTGCCAGTTTCCTACCAAGGGCGTTGCGGTGATCGTTTGTCATTCCGCTCACGGTTGTCTGGGTAAGACTAATAGCAGCGACAAGTACACCATTGGGGCCACAACTGTGAAGCACCATGCGCAGAAAGCCGTAGAATTTCCGGCGTTTCTGCATGCTTGGGGAACGCAGTTGGTTAGGATCATCCATCTCGGATGGCGATGCTTGTAAGGTCCTTAGTGCGTGTAATACTTTCTTTTGTTCGCGGACACTGAGGAACCGGCACGATTGCAGACTCTTTAACGCATCGTCAATGAGGGACCATGCTTCATCGACAGTCAGAGGCATCGTAGATGGAACTAGACGTTTTTCGACAGCCGCTAAGCAAAGAGTGTTTCTATGACAAACCCAGACAAGACGTGAAGCGCCGCCAACTGGGGCCAGGGCGGGATGGCGCGAAGGAAGGCAGAGCTGATAAGGCAAGAGCAGTGTAATCAAGCACAAGTAACAACAGGAGGTAAGATCAGGTAAAGATGCGTTAAACCCGGGTTGAGTCCAGATGAGGGTGGTGCATGCAGGTAAGGATGGGATATACGCAGGTCAGAATGGAGGTAAAAGGATAGAGGACAGTAGGGGTTCGAATGGAGGTAAGTGCAGGTAAGAATGGAGGTACGAACGGGTAAAAATGGAGTGAAGTGGCAGGTAAGGATGGAGGTAAATACAGGTAAGAATGGAGGTAAGTGCAGATAAGGATAGGTAAATATGGGTAAGAATGGAGGTAAATACGGGTAAGAATGAAGGTAAATGCAGGGAAGGATGGAGGTATAGGCAGGTATTGGAGGTATATGCAGATAATGATAGAGATATATGCAGGTATTGGGGGTATTTGCCAGTAGTGAGGTGGAGCCTTTGAGTTGAGATGCAGAGCTACTCCCTTCCTGGGATACTGTGCAGACAACTACTAGTTGAGCTTCTAGTCTAAGCATATTCGTTCTAATATTCAGTGTCCATACTCGTCGGTCAACTGATACTGTTCTCCATGTCGAAATTCACTCAGAGTGGTTGACTGACCAAAACACCAAGGTTGGTGGATTATCTCCCGAGCAATCCGATAGGACACTCTACAAGTGGCAAAGGTTGCGTGGATCTTCTGTCTGACACATTCAAGGAACGCTTCACATATGACTCAATATATACTCCCACGCAGATAAGCGGCTGGTTTCCAACATGACTTCTGGATCTACAGCCACGTTACAATAGCTATGGCCACGTTGCCCTCGTCGAGAGAAGCAATGTTTGCAAAGCCACTTCGGCGGCAAAAGCTCGATACGTCGAAATTAGTCATGTTTTGGGGTTCATCTATGCCGTTACGTCTCACCAAGAGCAGCTACGCACGTATGAAGAACGGAACCGCTGTTGCCGCCCTGCCGCAATCCTGTAAGGATGCGGTACACAGGACAAGGAAGCCTGAAATGCGACATCCTTGGATCAATTCGCTCTAAAATTCAACGTCAACAGTATTGGTACTCATGATGATAACTGGACCTGGACGCTGTTATCCGATACGCCAGCGAAAGTATTTTTGGTGTTGTTGTGCTCGGCTATGCAGGTGCATGGCCATGGCGGTTGCAGTTTGTGTACTGACCGCTCCTCCAGGTTGATGGTCAGGACGAACGCAGCTGATTTACACTCACACCGTTCTTATGATTGCTTCAAAGCTGCTTCCAAACGTTGCCTTGTTTACACCCAAAGCTTACAGAAACGCCTAGTTGAACGCGGTTCGATGCAGAGTAACGCTCCCTCTGTCGCCTTGCGGCCTTTATCCAGTTGCACAGAAAAATACCACAGAATCGGGAACATAATAGCCGACGCAGCAATGAGAGGTTTCAGAATGAAAAAAGCTGTGAAACCGTACGATGTAGACTGGAACGCATGATTGTGGGCAAAGGACTCGGTTGCAAGGCCGACTTGCGACACGGTCAGGGCAATCGCAATATATACTATTACGCTTGCCAGCAGCGTAATGATCGCGAGCGAAGGCTCCCTGCGGATCTATGCAAGCAGTTTTGGGGCGTTTGCATGGAGTCTTAGTTTGTCCAATTTTCAAAGCTTGGATGACAACCTTAAGCCGCACGGGATTCAATCAGATGGTCCGCTGCAAGTCTGTCGCAGCGCATTCGCCACTAGGCAACAAGTGGGTGGTACACCCTCGCGACAGCGAAAGAAGTCAGCTACGCAGCTCACGGAGTTCAAATTTCAAACACACATAGTTATCGTGGAATTCTTATATCCATGATACAGTACTCATGGCTCTCATCTGTTCAAAGGCTCTTCCATTTTGTGAGGCTTGACGTGGGTTGATGCTGGTGCCTTTGCTCCATGACGTGAAATACCTAGTGCATGAGTGAGGTTTGCAGTATGAGCACGAATCTCCCAATCTAAATCAACCACACGATACAATTATAGCAAGAGCCCTCTGGCCAATCGTAGCCGCATGTCAGGGTATGGGGGACAATATCAGTGCGCTACGCGGGATTGATTTCAATCGATGAGCGGCCCGAGGCGCAGGCACGGTGATGGCGACCGAATGATTTGTATCCGAGGGTAGGCTTCTTTAAGGCACTGCCTCGGGGAGATCGGATGAGCATGCTGCCCCGCCACCGGCCGGTCATCAGTTTTGATCGCATACTACGCTGAAGATCATTAATCCCCAGCGAGGGGCAGATGTTCAGGGCCACGGTTTGGTGACCGGGTGCCACCGGCAGATTGCCGGAGGCTAAAGCTCCTTTGCCGACGACAGCCGATCAACCTCCAGCTACCCTATTTCTAGTACTGAATTACAGAGGAAAAGCGTCGCAAGCAACACGGAGACATAAAGAAAGCATAGGGGTGCCAGTGCACGGAAACTCGAGGGGCGCCAAAATAGTAGGCGGGGTACAACGCATGAAGAAAGCATAGGGGTGCCAGTGCACGGAAGCTCGAGGGGCGCCAAAATAGTAGGCAGGGGTACAACGCATGAACAGCCAATCAGTACGCTATAATATATACATATCTATATAACGCAAAGCTAGGCAGCAGTGAAAATCCTGTGCGGGCTGCTGAGCGACCTGAAAAGAGCGAGCTCTGGAGAACCAAGAGCTTGGGGGCTCAAGGATATTTTGAAGAAACAAGATTACCACCGATTCTGTGGCTGCTGGAGGTAGGAGAGACGGGGACTTTGTCTTTTTCAGGCTGCACTCAGATGCAAGGTGGCATCATGTTGTCGGCAAGGTGGCAGAGATCATTTACGGGCTGCTGATCCCGAAGGATACAGTGGTGGTGCTGCAAGGTACATCGAGCAAAGTACCTGAGAAGAGGAAGCTCCTGGGAACAGTGTCATTTTCGGGGCTGGGGACGCAAGGGTATTTCGAAGAATTCACTCATCCGAAAATGTCCTCCCACCAAAATTGCTGTAGGCTAGTGGTAGCCACAACAGGAGGATACCTCTGTACAGGTAGCTTCGGTGGTAGGGACCCCTGTCAATGCCAAATTCAGCGGCTCTGGTCCTGATTGCCAGCTGCCTAGCCCGAAGATGCTCACGACAGACCCATGCATTGTTGCAACATGACCCAAAGCATGGTGCGTTGAATAGAAGTCGAAAATGGACATGTTGGGCTTTCTTTCAAGCATCCTCGTCACATAAACGCTAAGTTTGGATGACAACCTTAAGCTGCAGCTGAATTGAATCAGACGGCTGGTCCGCTGCAAGTCTGCGCATTTGCCTGAAGGCAACAAGTGGGTGGCGTACCCTCGCACAGCGAAAGAATCAAGCTACGCAGCTTACGGAGTCTAAATCGCTCTTCCATGCGTGAGGTTCACAGTGTAGGCACGAATCTTCAATGTAAAGCAACCACACGACTACTATTATAGCAAGAGTCCTTTAGCCAGTCATAGCCGCATGTCAGGGTATAGGGGGGATCATTAGTGCGCTACGCGGGAATAATTTTGATCAGGCACACGGTGATGGCGATCGCATGAATTGTAGTTGAAGGTGGGTTTTTTGAGACACTGCCTCGGGGAGATCGGATGTGCCTGCAGCCCCGCTACTAGGCCGACCATCAGTTTTAATCGCATACTACGCTGAAGATCTTTAATCCCCAGCGAGAGGCAGATGTATTAATACAAAGCCACAGTTTGGTGGTGCTAGCGGCCATCAGCAAATTACCGCAGTCTAAGGCTCCTTTGCCGACGGTAGCCGACGGCAAGGAGTGCCACTGTACGGCAACCAGAGAGGCGGCGAAATAGTGGTACAAAGCATGGACAGCCAATCAGTACGTTGTATCTAGATATAAGGCAAAGCTACAGTAGGCAGCAGCAAAAATCCTCCGCGGGCTGCTAAGCAACCTAAAAAGAGCGAGCTCTGGAGAACCAAAAGGTTGGGGGGTCAAGGGTATTTCGAAGAAACAAGCTTACCACCGAATCTGTGGCTGCTGGAGGTAGCCTCCTCCCTGCTCGGCCAACTGCACCAGTACAGCCTCTTGCCGCCATTTGCTCGACCAAGCCTCGTAATGGCTCAAAAAACCATAGGAGTCGAAGAAGGACGCTTTCAGCGAAGCAAAAAGCTGACATGCTGATTGTTCTTTTACAAACTGCTCAATACAGCTTGAAGAATTATCCTTAGGTCATTTTCTACTCTTGATAAAACGTTCATCTGAATTTGACTCTTCTGAGCTTCTTGAGCCATTACTAGACACTGATGGTGGAGCAGCTGGTGGGGAAAAGCTATACTAGGGCAGAGAGTCTGCCTCCGATACCCGCAGATTTGGTGCTATCCTCGATTCTTCGAGATACCCTTGCCCGCCACAACTCCCTGGTTCCCAAGAGCTTGCTCTTCTCAGGTTGCTTAGCAGGCAGCGGACTATCCTCTATTATGTTCGCCTACTAACTGCAGCGAATTTGTCAGCAGCTCTCCTATTTGCCATCCCTCACGTTACGTTTGTGCTCTGATACCCCTATGAAGTCCCCTGTCTCCCGTTCTTTTGGCCAGACACAGTCGACTTGTCTCACCGCAGCCTTCGTCAACCAGTGGAGCCAGGCACTGCGGCGTAGCGTCCTTGTTCATCGTTGATGCACATACCGAGACGAATACCGCCATGAAACCGCAGGATTCCGCGGTAGGTAGGTTTACTCTCTTATCCTTTTCTCGATGTACAGTCAGGAACAGGTTTAGCGTCCACATTAGAGACTAAACAAAATTCCAAGTTTGGTCATGTGGGGCAGTGGCACAGTGCGAGCCAGTTATTCAGCAGCTCGTTAGTGGGGGCAATGGCTTATGGGCAATTTCACCACAAATCTTGCCAGTGGGGCCTATCGCCGCCTTAACAGCTCAATGGAGGAGAGCCTTCGCTTACACCCCCTGCGTGTATTGGGTCAATTGACTGTTGAGACAGTCACGTGCTGATATGGTGAGATTTAACCCCGCGATACGTCGGCGCAAATCGCGAATCTCTAGCTTCAACCCACGCCATCATGGCTATTTTAACCCCAAAAGACTGAATGATGTCTTCATCTCTGTGGTTGCCGAGGGCATCATTTCGTTTCTTGCAGTCACGGATCTCATCGCTCTTCAGGGCGTCTGTCGATCGCTCCGTGAGGCTGTGAAGAGCCGGCTGGACCACCGATACAATATCAACATTTTCCTGAAGGATTTTTTGCAAGATCCTGGAACTTTCAGGCATCAGCTTGGTAGAGCAGATGCTCTAATCGTTCGTGGGCCTGCCTTGAACTTTCTGGAGTCGCAACATCGGCAATTCGAATATCTCGATTTGCTTGTCGAGGATGGAGACAAAGCGCGATCTCTAATAGACTACCTCTGTACCGAGGAATCCTACTTTGAGTGGGATTTCATCCCAATTTCTTCTCAGCCAGGCAGGTCAGCTGACCAATCGGAGCTTACCACAATACTACGCAGAGGATCTGGGGAAGAGCTGCTCGAGTCGGCAATACGTGTTCGACGCACATCCACCTTTCCCATTCATGCTCTGCTGGAGAACTGCTGTATGACTGCGGAGCTGAATTTTGTGACTTGTAACAAGGCGTTTTCACTTTTCCCCGCGGCAACGCTGGCAAAACACAAGACATACCCTCTGCGGCCGATGGATGACGAGTTCGGCACCCTTCTCAGGGAGTTGTCCTGCCAAGGTTGGACGACACGCGATATGCTATCCTTAGCGTTAGGAGCTCAACCGCCTTACAAGTCTGGACCTAGACGGGTTGGCGATACGCGCTCTGTGTGCGTATCGCTTGCTCCACATATAGATTCAGCAGGTTGCACACCCGACTACGTCATCGAGCATGCAGCATTCGATGTATCTGTAAAAATGGAGCAGTCCAGCAAGAAGGGTCCGCTTCAAATACATTGGAGCGAGGAAATGGCGTTGCATGTGCGCAAGCTAGATTCGCCGTCACTTTACTATCAGTTCACAGTAGGCATCTTTCAGTCCTGGTCTTACTTTGTGAATAAACGGCTGGAACATTGGACCAGAATCGAGATGTTCAAAATACCGCGCACATCACGCTCGTTTTCTGTAACTTCCCGTGGTTTTCTGCCCGAGATCCGTGGAACTCAGCGACCGCCGGACTGGGATTATGCAGACGATCAGATTCCAGCGTGGTATGAGGTATACCGACAAACCAGCCTGCGGTAAATGTGTACCGCCTTTAGAGGAATGTGATATATTTCTCGTTATATAAATATAAGGAGTGAACTAATGCATAACACTGGAGATAATCTAGTCCTCGGGGTCGGAGCTCTCGACTGTTCCGTAAGAGCGAATGAGGACTGGGATTAGCAAGCCGGGTGCAAGACTCCTCCGGTTTCTGTAGGTATACACGCCTGAGCTGTTAAATGCTCCTCAGGCCTCGAGCAGCTATCGACTCACTGGCATTTGCCCTTGACGGAAGCTGGGTGCTTCTGTCATCAGAAGGTCACCGTGTCGGTATCTCCTCGTGAATGCGCGGGATGCGCGAAAGCGCGTGAAATCGACAAAGAACTTAGAGACGCAAAGCACACTGCAACATCCATTAACGGCCTAGAAGCGTTTATCTGATCGCCGTAAAGAATCCAAAAGATGCCATAATGACAGGGACCGGACCAGGATTATATCTCATGGAGAAGATGCAAGCGTCTGCACCATTTGACGGGGTCCTCTGTATCTTAGGTGTCACAACCGGCTTCTTTACACTCATCGTGATCCGAAAAGAGCTGTGAGACCCCTCTCCGCGGAGCGGCTTCTGTAGGTATTGAGCGCAAGAACCAACTCCTATTCATACCCTTAAAGAGCCTCGTCCCCTGCTCCATTTCAGATACACTGAAGAGAGGGCAATGCGAAGCAGTCAAGCTGGCAAATACATGAAGACAGACACTATTTGGAGTTTGACAGATTGATACGCGATGCCACAATCCGTGATTTGCGTGCCTAAAGGCGTGGTGAGGATCACACCAGATGGTAGCCACAGGGCGCGTTTCACTAGCCTTGCAACACAGCAAAGGCTAGAGACAGAAGACGCATACCGCAAGGAGAGGTTGAATATCTTATCCGCGCGTCAACGCAATTCTCGACACACGAAGGATTTTGATAAAGCGGCCCGCGAGGCAGAGAACCAGCTTCAACTTTTTGGTTTGATCTTTGCGCAGCTTGCCCGACAAGACAACGAACTGCAGAACCAACAAGCGACTGGCAACTGTACAACGAGCAAAGAACGGGAAAGAGTGAGAATCGAAGCAACAGAGGTTCTGCGGACTATTTTGTGACCTGCCTTGCTTGTGGCCTGGCTTCAACTCTTTATCTCCAGTTTGACCAAACTTCCGCCGGTGGCGATACATAGACCTTCCAAATTCGAAACCGGAATGGCTACTCCGTCATCTAAAGATTCTGCATCTATAATGCACATATATTTATTATACTTTGCTGCGTCTGCATCTTCTCGCGTAAGCCATTCCAAATTGCATCCTAGTTTTGACCCTACACCCCCGTTCTTGGCCACCGTGTATTCAGCTGAATGACAACCGATCCTGCCTGGACAGGTGCAATAGTGGAGGCGTCGAGAGTGAGCCTGGTCAGGCTTCCCTGACGTACTGTAAGTAGATCCAATCTGTCCAAGGGCGCGACGCCGATGCTTGATTCCGTTTGACCAATCAGCGAATGCTCAAGCTCTGAACCACTCGCTGCTTGTGTGGTCGGCTGTTCTCGGCTGTATCAACGCTGGGTTCTAGCCTTGGTGATTCTTCTTCCATCATTTCCCCTGGTCCGAGCAGCGTGCCCAATGTGTTGCGGAAATATCCATCGTCCACATTGTACTTTCACTAGGCTGCGGAAAGAGAGTTCTTCGCTGCCTCAACAGCAATGTAGCTGCACTATTGCGGATATAAGCCTCTAAACTTTGCACGAAGAGGCGCTCCAATCCGCACCGTGAGGGGAACACAGGTAATTTCCAGGCAGGATGCAGTCTTCCATGACATCGCTTCGTATGCACCTTCTCGGCTTGACACAAGAATACATTGCAGAGGAAGCACGCCATTTTGCTTGATGCCACGTCTCTGGGGGAGGGGGGGATGTTGGCTTAGGCTGATGTGTTTCCAGGCAATATATGAGCTGCATCTCCGCATGCAACATTGGTCTGGCTCCCATGTCCAATTTGCAATCTCGCACAGGTAACAAAAAAGTCCGGCTGATGGTCAACAGACAGGGAGCGGAATGCATTCCGAGGTAAGCTGATCATAACAACCTTCATGCTGCGAATGATGAGATATTTTTTGGCAGTGCGATACAGAAATCGTGCGGCGTCACGGTACCGAGCCATTCTGCGTATCATCTTGAGCAAATGCCTTCGCTCGCTCGGGCCCATCAGGGTATTTGGGATTGACGAAAGCATTTGCGATAAGCTACTGTTGCGAGAAAGCTGGACAACAGTTTCAACAAGGTCGCAGAGGCGTCGTTCGGTTTGATGCTTAAGCCACACGTCGATATTTTTGATCACTGCTTTGGCCTGCTGTCGAAACTCGGGATATGTACCGGCCAGTAGTGCCAAGGTGTCTTCTAGCAATTGTCTAAGCGTCTGTTTAGATTTATTTCGCTTATGCGGCGCATAGCGCATCCTTTTGCGGATGCGGAGGGAGCACATTGTCACAATGTTCCTGAAGACTGCCTCCTCAGCGTCGGGAGCTATCTCGCAGTTAGATGGCAATCACCAGCGACTTGAGCATGACGCCTGCTCACTCTGCAAAGCTTTGGATAGCGAATGAAAAATGCTCTCGAAGCCATCTTTGGTGCTTTTCAGGATGGGGAGGCCATCGCATGGCGGGCTTGGTTGACGGCGATGAACACCTCTGTTCCATCCGTCCCCGGCTTCTCGTGTATGCACAGCGCTGGTACATGATTTGGATCTTCGCCGATTTTCGAAAGAAACGCAAGCGTATTCAATAAATCGCGTTCTATGTCGAAAGGCAGAGAGTATGTTGAAGGGTTGATGTGTGCTTGCTGTTGCCGGGGGTTGATTGACGGTTCGGTCGGAACGGTGTGTAAAAGATGCATGAAAGCAATTGCTTCAGCGCAAGCAATATCCGGAGTAACTGGAGCGGTCCGTGTCATGACAGCTTTTGGACTTGAAGAGTCTGCAAAGGTTAGTCTGCAAAGGTTGGTCATGGAGGGCTGGAGACGGTATTAAAACAGTGCAGAAGCCGGTTGTGCGAGGTATGCCACATCGCGCCGTGCGCTTGGCAACTGCAAGTCAGAAACACGTGCGGTCACAACTTTGGCCGTCTGGTCCTCGATGTCTCACCGAAAAGAGAGTTCCTGCAAGCACAACACAAGAAGCTGCACGAAGTGCGGGGTACATTCATCCTGCATGCGTGATGCCTTACCTGATTCGCTATCGTGCGTCTGCAGCCAACCATGCGTTCGGTATGTTGACCAATCTGGAGTTCGAATAGACGAATGAACTGGCAACTGTATGTGCAACGAGAATAATAGCTGTAGCGTGTTGCATTAAAGGTAGGCCATCGGCTTCCGCAATGCCATCCTTTGCGTCATGTTACGGCAATGTTGGAAAGTTCGGAGAGATCATCTACACCAAACTTATACCCTCCTTCTGTTTACACTTTTTTTTCCACATTTACAACCGAAGTACTATGACTGATATAGTAAGCTGCCCAACTTGCGCCACTGGCGGCCAACAGTAATACTGACACTGAAACGTGTAGCATCCCGACCTCGCGCATATTTCTGATGTTATTATTAGTATGCGACGTGCAATTGGGGTAATGAAGGCTGAAATAATGGAGCGCTTTGATCAAAATGCGGCCGTCGCAGCCGCATTGCACGACCGCATTCACCAGGCGGATAACAACCTCATCGCGCACTGTGATATTGATGCACTGAACGATGGCATCGCTCAGTCGCGAAACGTCCTTAACGCCGTGGTCACTGACGTTGGTGCGTGTCATCAAAGTCTTCAGACAACCAAGAACGTTATGGCCGCATGCAAGCAGGCCGTAGAGGCTTCGCAGCTGCATCTGCGGGACAGAATCAGGGACACGCAAACCGAGATAAAGCAGGCAATAACCACAGCTCGACAAGAACTTAGCGTGGGTATCGCCACGCTACAAACCAGCCTTCTCGATGCCGTCGGAAGAGTCGGACGAGACATTGGCAAGGGTATAAGCAGTCTAGGCGAGGCTGTCGCGAGCGTTGCAGGCAGTTTCGGGGGACAACTTAGTGACGCGTGCGAGGCCATCATCACTCAGACTAGCCTTGCGCGCGCACCATCCCGCGAGGTGTTTGATGGCAAAATGCGTGAATTGCGGGGCATCGTTGAACACACGAATACTTCTGTACAGAATCTGCCCCGGACTTTAGAATCCAGCCTCGCCGAGGCAATGAAAAATGCTGCGTCCGGCGCGACCGACAACACAACAAGGGAAGTCAAAGGGAAGCTGCAGAAGCTGCATGAGGAACTGTGCGACAAAGTTCGAGACGTTCGACTTGAGATGCGGGCCGGGCACTATAACAGCGCTGCGCGTCTGGCTAACAAGCTATCAAGCTGCTGCACGAACACCATCGTCAAATTGCGCGGAATCGAAAACTTGCCCATTCGTACTCTTCCGAAGACTTATGCTGGCCTGCAGGGTCTTCAAGGTGAGCACCACACAGATCAAAGGAGATAACACAGAGCGAAAGGGCCAGTCGCGGCTAGGATCAAGTCTCCTGATTGTCGGCGCATATAGGAAACATCAATGACATTCTTGAACGCTTGCAATTGAACACAAACGTACCCTATGCAAAAAAAACGACGGCAACTTAAAGTTTACTTGTTCATAGAAATGCAGCTACTCAAGGATTTCCAGCTGGCTGATGAAGATTTTCTCGGCCCAGGGGTATGCAGGGGCTTATAGTGAGAACCTCAAGTGCAAACTGATTGGTCTCTTGTATCACCCTTCGAGCTACTTCAATCGTCCCAGTACCGCCCCAGTCCCGCCAGCTGAGCATAGCTTCGAGCATTGGTGGCTCATCTAGGAACTCTTCGGGACGTGGGAGCTTAAGAGTTGATCACGAGAGATGCCGCCAGTCAAGTCTGCAAGCATAGAGTGATGCTCGGCGAATGGCGATGTAACACAAACTAACGTTCTTTCCTCCGATTTACAGCTTTCGCCCAATGGAACAAAACTATGCCACAGAATTGAAGTATAACAACCGAGGCTGCAATCAGAGGCCCTAGAATGGAAAACGCAGTGAACCCATACGATGCAGACTGAAACGCATGACTAAGGGAAAGGGACTCGGTTGCCAGCCCGACTTGCATAGCGGTAAAAACAACAGCGATATACACAGTTGCGCTGGCTAACCAAGCAAATAATCGTGGAAGAAGCTGCCCTACTGATCCCACCAAGCCATATACCCACGCAGGGGTGTTTTGTAGAGGGCGTATCTCTTATTGAGACGATTGAGGCGCAGCTCGCGGTGGATGAAGCGGCGGTTGACGTTGGGATAGATACGCTCCATGCTCTACGAGAATTCGCCATGCCGGCCATCGCACCTCTGGAGGAAGGAGATACTCGTCCTTGGCGATACGAAAGTTGCTCCCATGGGACAGGAGTGCGGCGTATGAGTACAAGAAGCCGAGAGCACGCTGGCGGAGAATTTAGCGCCTCCCATCTGCACAAACGAGATAGATAGTCCAGAAGCCCGGCTCTAGGAGGAATCGCGGTATCGGCTTAAGGAACATGCGCCCCGCTGTCCAGACCAGATGCATGTCCATCTATTCCGTGACGACCTCACGACCTAGCAAGAGCTGGTGGTGAGGGCACGTGGCGACGACGGCAGACCCGCGATCCAGAGCCAGTCCTGAATGTTGGCGAGCCAAATGCAAATCGAGCTCCCTCTCAACACAGGCAGTGACATGCAGACCCGCAGTGCCCAGGTCACCAGACTCTTTGCGATAGGACGCGGGCAGAAGTGCCAGGAGCTGGTCGCAATCTTGTCCGGACGCGTTGTTGTGCTCGTTTTCGTACGCGAGGAGAGAGACGGAGAACGGAGGTGCCTGTTACAAGATGCTTGAGATCAAAATGCCGTGCGTTGGACGCTACCGAGTTCGTCGGGTTTCCTATCCCACCATAGTCTGTCATCAGGAGGACTGTCCGACCGCCATTGGAGTTTCGCCAGGCGACAGAAGATACACATTGGGAGGAGGAAGAGCAACCGTCGCGACGAGGTACATAGGTACATTGGGAATGGTCGGCACAAGGAATGCAACACCAAAGTGCGATGTGCAACATAAAAGCTGAACCTGCACTTTGCTGCACTGGGGCGGGGAGACACCCAGGCAGTAAGCGCTGTGGCTTAAGGCAACCAAGCGTCCTCCCAAACTACGATCCCTGGCCGCTGCGTCCTTTGGCCATGTTCTTACACCTTCTCACAACAGCGTATATACTTCCTTGCGTCTACGTACACGCCCTTCATCGTATTTTATATTCAAGACAAGTGTTGCTGTTTTGAAAACGAAAGCTTCGTGGTTGACCCGTCGCCACTATCTAGCATTACAAGCTCCTGTCGCCCGTGCACCGCCCCAAACACCCCTGGCCGCGATGGACTGGGCGCAACGGTGGTTACTCACCTTCTTAGCGAGCGTTATTGCCACCGTGTACTGGTTGTTGGCAGCGAGAGCTAAATCTGCAGCGAAATCGCGACGACAGTCTCAGGTAGCGCAGAACCATCGCCCTGATCATTCGGTGCCAGAGAGGACAACGGTATGTCATATGGGCAATGGAGGAGCAGCATAGTAATACCGCATAGGATTAGACTCGGAAGCGTCTTACGATAGTATACTCTGAGCAGACGCGCGTTGCAGCCGATGATGCTGACGTCGAGTAAGTGTTCTGAGTAATTCTGAGGAAACATCAATCTGATCATAGTAGCATCGTTGCCGTACATGGCCTTGGTTCAGACGCGGACTGGTCTTGGATATGCAAGGACGGCGAAAAGCATATCAACTGGCTTCGGGACCCTGACATGCTGCCAGCGCAGGTGCCTAGGGCAAGAATTATAGTATATCGCTACGAGTCGACCTGGCATGTAGACGCACCACAGACGCGCCTCCAGCTTTGCGGAGAGGAGCTCGTCCACAGTCTACACGCATTCCGCGCCGGTCGCCCGAGCCGGCCGCTTGTCCTTGTCGGCCATAGTCTAGGTGGAAATGTTATCGTGCAGGCTCGCTGATACCCTCGCAATTTTGTACGCGCTTTTGCTAATCTCCGACTTCGAGGCCTTTCTGTACGCCAACGACGACTGCAAATACGAGTCACTAGTAAAGACGACCGTTGGTCTTGTGTTCCTGGGCACACCTTTTCGAGGCTCAAAGTGGCAACCCCTCGCCGATGCTCTCGCCCAGCTGATGCGACCGGCAGGCTCCCACCGCGGTATTACGAGGAAGCTAGGATTCGACGAGCCGGCGCTCCGAGACAGTGTACATCGATTCTGCAAGCTGCGCAACAAGCTGTCGACGGCTGTCGCATGTTTTAGCGAGCTCCGCGAAACGGACTTTGGTCGGCGGTTGGGCATTGTCGGCGTTGCTAAAGGAATGGTATGTGAACACTTAAGGACGTTCGTCAGTTGGAGCCATTCTCATGTCCCAAGATCGTCGAGGAGACATCTGCTTGCATCCCAGGTTTTGACAGATACGCACTCGAAAAAGATCACCTGAAGATCAATAAATATTACGGTCCAACCGACCCCGCATTCGAACGAGTGTCTAATGCGATCGCCGAGATGTGCCACCGAGCGAACGACGTCGTTCGGCGCCGGTTTGAGAGTACGCGTTCCTGCGGTCTTCTCCAGGCCTATTGCTAACGCGCCAACAGGAAGTGAGCCATTACTGACAATCATGGTAAGCTAAACAGTCTCCTGCACAGCGTCCTATGTTCTACAAGCCCTGCTAACATTTCGCCACAGTCGCACTGGAATATAACCCAGCGGCTGGAGGCTGTCTTCATGATCTATTCGTCACCGACCCGCTCGAAGACAAGAAGGCTCTAAAGCGCAAGAAAGGGAATCGCGCTGCTGGCACTTGCAAGTGGATACTTGGCACGGAGCATCTAACCGCCTGGCTTGGTTCTAGAAATAATCAGGATTTTGAGAGTCACGCAAGCCAAGTCCTGTGGCTTCATGGCAACCCGGGTACGGGGAAGTCTACACTGGCAATATTTCTCACCGACGTGCTGTCCATATGGTTCTCTGCAACAGACGAAAAAACATTGGCATATTTTTTCTGTGACTCGGCTTTCGATACACGGAGGACAGCCACGTCTGTCGTCCGAGGTCTTCTGCTGCAACTCATCCAACAGCACCCACCTCTTCTGCGCCATGTTTTACAAAAGTACAATGAGCGAAAGGCGAAATTATTCGAATCCTTTGATGCTCTCTGGGCAATATTTATAAAAGTGGCAGCTGACAAAAACACTGGTCGAAAATACTTCATTATTGATGCATTATACGAATGCGAGGTTGATTCCCAAAAGACGCTCCTACATCAGCTGCGAGACACCTTTCATAGCCCTGATGCTCCGTCCAACGTTCAAATTCTTGTCACCAGTCGGCCATATCCAGAGATTCGTAAATACCTGGGAATTTTTTCATGCGTGGACTTCGCTTGTTTTCCCGACGCTAAGCGGGACATCGATCAATGCATTAAGAAAAGGGTGGCGCAGCTTCCGTACACCGAGAAAATTAAAGAGCGAGTTACCGACATTCTTAGATACAAGGCCGCGGGGACATTTCTGTGGGTCGGCATAGCCCTGCGTGAGTACGTTGAGTCTTGCCGTCTGATGGTCGTTATTCAGGACGAAAAAGTGCTCTTATTACATCAACCTGTGAAAATTTACTTGATCAAATTTGGTTACCAGGCCTGTTTTAGTGAGCTCCAAGTCCATGCCGACCTTGCTTAACGCTGTCTCGATCACCTTATCGAGCAGTTTCATAACAAGAAACAAAACGCGGGCCACTTCCCGGACTATGCAACTCGTGAGTGGTCCGAACATGCACATTTAGCGCGGTCTAAATTCGTCGTCATGGCTTCACAGGCGGAGTTCTTCAAGATTATTTCTCCGTGTCGGGAGTCCTGGTTGGCGGCTTACCATGGCTTTGGCAAGTCTAGGTATGACAAGCCTCCACTGTACAGACCCATCCGCTGTTGCAACAGGATCTGAAAGCATGGTGCATTGAATAGGAGGCGAAAATAGACATGTTAGGCTTTCTTATAAGCATCCTCGTCACATAAACGCCAAGTTCAGATGGCAACATTAAGCCAAAGCTGGATTGAAATGGACGGCTGCTCTGCTGCAAGTCTGCTCATTTGCCTTAAGGCAACAAGTAGGTGGCGCACCCTCGCGACAGCGAAAGAGTTAAGCTACATAGCTTACGAGAGTCCAAATCACTCTTCCATTTTGCGAGGCCTGGCGCGGTTTGACGTACTGTACCGGTAGGTGCCTTTGCTCCATGACGTAGAAATGCTGGTGCACATGAGGGAGCTTCACAGTGTAAGCACGAAACTCCTAATGCAAGAGTCAATCGTAGCCGCACATCAGGCAATCAATTGGTGGATGGAACACCAAGAGTCATTTCCGGTGCTCAGTCAGCTGGAGCTGGATGTTTTTGCGATACGATGGCTACAGACTGCGAAAGGTCGTTCAGCCAAGTGTGATGAGAATCAGACGAAACCTCTTCCCGTTGGCACTAGACTAGACTGTTGACCTAGCTTAGACCCGGGAGCTATACATTATAGAAAGGCACATCAGCCAGCCACGTCGCGGTCGTTGGGACTGACACGGCTGCATGATGAGATTCATTGAATTTGTGCATTATATATCCAGCACACGATTCCGAGAGTACATTGTTCAAGTTTATGTCAATGCTATATCCCGCCGTCAGGTTTGAAACATGACAAGGACTTTCGTGTTCGGCTGGAAGGGATCGCAACTCCATCGACAGGCCGAAATGAACTACTTGTACCGCACGTGCTTTAAGCCCCGTGCTGAGGATTTGCTGCCATACTTTGCTTAGAACAGCTATCTAAAAGGTTTGTCTTAGTTCAGCTATCGCGTGGGTGCCAACTTTTTCCATTGTCCTAGCTACCTGAATCAAGGAATTCAACACTGGGTGACTTACCACCTTGATTGGCCAAAGGAAATCTGTTGAAAGCTCTTAAATCGAGAATGAAATGGTCATAATGGTGAGAAATGAAAACAAAAAAATATGATTAGTTTCAAAATGACACCTAAATGTAGAACACAGTTTCACCACCAGCCTAGCAATGTGTCTCGTTCTCCAATCTAGCTTGATAACCTGTCTTCTTCGTCTCTTCGTCTCTGCTCCCTCGTAAGCGATTACTTCTACCCACAGTCTAGCCGTGAAATAATGTTGAGGCTAATGTGGGTAGACACGCCGGGGATGTGAGACTGGCGGTGTAATGTGAGTCAAATAGCGGCTACGGGCCGTCGCTGGAGACACCCGTCACAAATTACTACCAAGCGAACGCTGCCAAAGTTCCCGGATGATCGGCTAGACTTCAAAACTATTGAGCGCAGTATGAAGCTTAGTTCGCAGATATAGTTCATCGCTGACTGGTTAGTAGCCTACTATATCCGCTGCCATCCGGCATGTCTGACATGTGGGTACTAGCCGCTAGGCCATACTAAATCTCAAGGTAACATTAATGATATCTGCTAGCTATTGAGTCCTATGTTTCACATTGGAAGTAGATTGCTAAGCAGATTGTGATCTGCTTGATTTCAGATGCGAATAGCCATGCCAGGCTGCCTCGCATCGTTACTAGTCGCTAATGTCGGCTATATGCCTTTTTTAATCTATATGACGACACCGGCGGGTTATTGAGGCATGCTCCGTTATCGAAGGTGTCTCATACATTCTTATGTATGTTTTGGTACGAGTACCTGGCTCTTTGACTCTCACAGAAGCGGAGAACACAAGCAGAGTAACGTCATGAAGGATGTGTGTTCAAGACATTTTGTAGAGCTGGAAGGTAAGTGAGCCAGCAGCCAGGTGACGTATGCGAGGAGACCTCTAGTGCATGGTTGAAATCTAGACTCGAAACGTTGAATCATAATGCATTCAAGACACAGACTGAGCAGCATACGTGTTTCTGCTTCATTGGCAGGTTGCCGAGACCCAACCTGCCGAAATGGCTACCAGTACTGCTGTGTCCGGCTGCGAGATGCGGTAGAATCAGAACACTACAGCAATATACTGCGGATTAGACCTTGATGTTGATGGACAACAGGAAGAACGTAATGTCGTGTTTAAGGTTCCGCCGCTATATAAAGGGAAGCTTCTCTCAGCTTTGATGATTTACTCTCCATTCCATGCTTCAAGCCAGATTCATCTTTACATACTTCATCCATATTTCCACACCATAATGCGTTTATACGTTCTTATCAGTTTTGCTGCTATGGCCATGGCTGCAGCAGTAGGTGAGTTTAAGGCAACCCTAAACTGTCTGTTCTAGGCCACACGACTAAATCTACTCGAAGCCGACCCAAGCCCCTCCCCGTCCTTTGCAGAAGTCCAGGATGATAGTCCCAACGTCGATGGCGAGATCAATCCCAACGCATGCTATTGGGAAGGTTCTGCTCCTTTCTGTGAGGGTCGTTGTAAGCCTGGGTGGCGCCAGATTGGCAGAGATAAGTGCGGAGATGGCAAGTGCTGTTATACCGGCAGCAAGGCTCACTGCTGCCGGGACTAGACAGTTGGACATCGCATAGGGTGGTTGGCAGGACAAGCCCAAACAAAAGAGGTTGTTAGGTTGGATTTGGTAGCTTCTGGCCGTTGTATGGAGTTCTCCGACAGGAGTTTAAGCTCGGCCGGCCATTCGCGGATATTAGCCTTCAATATAATGACTTGCTAAGCAGGGCTCACTAGGTATATTAGTGAATAAGACGCAGAAGTGCCGGGGCCACACTTAAGGGTCCATCGCCATCTAGCCGCAAGGGAGCGCATTATGGGAAGTGGCGGGAGAATGATTTGTCACCACCCGAAGTCAAGGATGCAAACCACTCAACGTATTTCAACCGGGTTGACCAAATTGACCACCGACGTCAACTCAACTCAATCAATATCACGTCCGATTACATAATACATCAATCCATTTCACTGATCCGTGAATTGAGCTGTTGACGTCGTTGATCTAGGGTATGATGCTTGTTGCCGACCCAGTGCCAAAGGAGCTTCTGGTCAGAGAAACAACTCCCATCCTATTGGCGCTAAGCCGAACTAGGCATGGCGGGCATTGTAACACCCTCTGAACGCGTCCATGCAACATCCGATCACGCGTATACATATCCACTAACGAGTCGAGATGTAGTCTACCTCACCAAGCAAGGATGACACTAATTCGTCCCATCGCCCAACGGCAGCATTGTCGAGTCTCCTAGCAACACCTGCACCGAGCTCACGGTCGGCAACGCCTTATCGAGACTTGGAACATCAATACCTCTGGCGCTGTTTCCCTGACCACACATAGTCACAGCGCGTGCGCGATACGTCATCTTGGGTATGATGTACAGAATTTTGACGGCAACCGCCGATGGGTCTGCAAACGCTGTATCCGAATCAAGAGCCCACGGGCAAGGGGTTTTGCAGAGAAGGGCATCCAGAACGCAAATGCTCATTTATTCAGAGACCGCGGCATATGCGCCCCTGACGACGGAACAAAATCGTCAGCTCAGAAGCGAGCAGAAAAGGTGAAGACCAAACACCAAAGATCCATTACTGACATGATGAAGCTCGATACGCGGCTTCCACGAGAGCAAGACATTGCCAACCATCTTGTTCAGGGGTTTGATCGGAAACACTTCCAGCGCCTTGTGCTAGAATGGATTGTCGAAGAGAACCACGCCTTTCGTGTGTGTGAACAGGGAAGGCTGCGTACAATATTCGAATACCTCAACCCTCTCGTTAAGATCACCGACGCCAACATTAGCAGAACGACTATTCGGTATAAGGTTCTTGCATCCTACGAAGCACACAAGGACAAGGTGGCAACGGTGTTGCAAAAGTCGCCCGGGTTGATTCACATCTCCTTTGACGGATGGAGGTCGGGGAACAGGCATAGTCTCTACGGTGTAACTTGCTTCTTTCGGGACGAGAATAGTGAGCCGTGCAAGCTGGTACTTGGTTTTCCCGAATGCGAACTTTACCTTAGACAACGCGGAGAGCAATGATACCGTGATGGAAGTCATTGGGGGTGAGCTTGGATTTGTTGGATCTACGAGGCGTGGCCGCTGCTTTGGCCATAGTCTAAACCTCTCCGCCAAAGCGCTGCTTTTCGGGCACAATGCTGCAGCCTTTGAGGAGCAGCTGTCAGGTGCAGCACCATTGTCCGAGGCGGAGCACACTCTTTGGCGGCGTAAGGGACCTGTCGGAAAGCTACACAACCTCGTAGTGGACGTTAGGAGATCGGACCAGCTTACTTATCTGCTACGAAGTATACAACGCTCCGAATTCGACATGTCATCTGATCTAAGGATACAAGCGAGCACGCCTCTCGATCTGATCATCGACAATGACACCCGTTGGCTCTCCCAGCTATATATGATCAGGCGCGCCCTTACTCTTCGACCGTTTCTCGAGCAGCTCATTCTGAAGCACCGCCAACAATGGGAGCAGGAGGTAAGGTCAAAGAGAACGGGCGGTATCAAAAAGTCAGCTAAGGAGCCTCGGATTTGCATGGAGGTGAACCAGTTGACGAGCAACGACTGGATAGTCCTGGAGCATCTTGCCAAGCTGCTAGGTTTCTACGAAGATGCTATCAGGACTCTAGAGGGCGATGCCAACTGCGCAAGCGAAAGCGAGGATGGGTTGGCTCGTACGGAAATGTATGGGAAGTCGTTCAGGGGTTCGAGTTTCTTCTAGAAGCCCTCGAGGGTTATAAGCAGCTCGCATGCGGAATACCCGACCCTGAGCACTTCAGGATTAATGTCAATTTGGGCTAGGAAAAGCTTAACAAGTACTACCGTTTGCTGGATGATACGCCGATCTACTGCACGGCCTTGGCGTTGCACCCGGCCTTCGATGGGGGTATTTCGAAACTGAGTGGCAAGATCGCCCGGATTGGGTGATGAAGGCCAAGCAAATGGCCCAAGAGGTGTGGGAAACGCAATACCGCCGCCTACGGGCAGAACCTAATCTTGTGACTGGCAACTCTGCGGCGAAGCGTCAGAGGAAGTACTACAATCCATTGCAAGTATACTGCGAGCGTACGCGTTCGGTATCCGCATCTGTCGCGGTGAAAGACGAGCTAGCCGATGCCGACCGCTTCGACGGGGAAGATGACGAAGACGAGCTAGAACTATGGCATTCGTCATGGGAGGACGGAGACGGCGATGTCCGGGATCTCTTGTCATACTGGCATGAGCGTAGGCGGCGATATCCTCGCCTGTCGCGAATGGCCATGGATTTTCTGACGATTCAGGCTATGTCGGCGGAGTGCGAGAGGCTGTTTTCGGCAGCTGGGCGAATGGTGACGCCGCTGCGAAGTCGACTTGATGCTGATATGATTGGAATGTGCCAAGTGCTGCGGTCGTGGTTACGAGCTGGGGTGATTGATGATCTGGATGTATTGCTTGTTCCTGTTGACCAGTGCAGTGACGAAGTTGAAGGAGAGTTAATGGATGAAGAGGAGGATGAATGATGAGGTGAACCTTTGATATAAATCAACGTCAATTAAAATACACACAACTCAATTTTGAGCCTAGTTGATAACGACATTGAGGCTCGCAGTTGACTAGGTCAACTCAACGTCACTGAGCTATTCAGTGGATTGAATTGAGTGGTTTGCATCCTTGCCCGAAGTCCATTCAGTCTCACTTAGAACGTCGGAACAACTCGCAGAGCTGCAGCTGCGCTCCGGTGCTTCGGATAGTCAGGGTCGGGCAGGGGATTGGCTCTGATAAGCATGCAGGCGCTGTAGGGAGGGTCGATCGGATCAGCAATGCGTGCGCTGGGTTGGCTGACCGGTACTCGGTGATCTCAGTACGCCGATAACTGGCCAGGGCGACAAGACCGTGGAGAAACTGAGCTATTGCTTAGTGTTGTCCCCTACCCTCTGGTAGGGAATGAAGGTGGAGGAGACAACTACCTTTGGCACACTAAACAGCGGTGGCACGCCAGCCATCACGAATTCAGGGCTGCTCTATGACCGTCGCAGACGTACGCGTGGCTGAAGGCAGGTAGAAAGAAAAGCCATGTGTACGCATTGGCTGTCCAGCTGAGATATATATATTGAGCGAGTGACCGTCGATATTGATCCACGAGGAACTGTTATTCATCTTTTGAAAGCTCGGGTTACTGATCATTACGTGAACTATTACCTTGGCCTTGCAAACGCCACTGTAGCCAACCCGCCTGGGACAGGAACCATTGCTCTGCAAGATGCTGTGTCCTTGAGAAGTTAGAATGACACAAATGACCAATGCCCCTGATTTTCTCCCTGATTACCTCTAGCCACTGCATACAATACTGTGTATTGGATTGTCGGTTTTGAGGAAGAATTTGCTTGGGTTTGACTGGCCGCGGGAGGGGGCTCGGAGAGCGCCTATGTGGTCGCGCGGGGGGGGGGGGCAGGCACGAAACGAGCCGGCATCGCACGCTGTTCATTCCCTCTGTAGAATTTGAATACTCCAGGGCGATAGAAAGATGCATGGTGAATAAGCAGCGCCAACCGCTAGAAGGCAAATATTAAGAAGCAAGGCTGTGAGCTGCTTGGCCTCGGCTTGCGAGTGGCCTGGCATCGTCGCTAGCCATCCGTGACCTGGTTACAGGCAACGGACGGATGACGGGGATGACGATGTCTACCGAGAAGGGGCAGAGAGGCAGAGCTACAGAAAAAGAGAGAAAGAGGAGCAGCCGGAGACGATAGAAGTGGGTGTGTGTGACTCTGCAATCCTCGATACATACAGTGCAGTGACTAAGTAACTGTAACGGTACCGGCTGTGCCATTACGACTGGCAGTGCCGGAAGACGGGTTATGGTAACAAAACCTTGGGGGTTCCTGCCTTGCTTTCCCCCGGCCAGCGCCGCTGTTCCAAAGCCTCGAGATTGAGTTGTAAACCCTCTAAATGAGCGTCTGGATGAGTTGAAGACTCTGCAGAAGTCTGCTTTCCTCAGCCTCTTGAGGAGATGCTTAAAGCGTGTTACGTTTCTAGTCGTCTTGGCTGCTGAATCGTGGACCAGATCTGTTGAGAGGACTGAGATTGAAAACGAACAAGATGGTGGGATGCCGTGCTTGTAGAGGTTTTTAAAAGTAATGCAGACATTCAAACGTTCTGCCTCCCCATTCCGGGTGATGGCAAATCTTTCTCCTGCCGCTTCCCTCCCTTGCGACTAAATGGCGACGACACGCCTTTAAGTGTAGCCCCCGCACTTCTGCCGGTAACGCATCTCATTTCACAGACACGATCGGCGAGGTTCAGTGAGCCTCGCTTTGCCCTCCTGACCGAGAAAGCAACACGTTGGGGAGAGGATGACAGAGCGCCTAACCAGTTAGCTGCCCATCAAATTAGGCCAGGACTAAGCCGGTAAGCAGAACCATTACAGTCTACCCGTCCCTGACAAGGCTAGTCAGGAGCTACAGAGCGAGACGTAGAGGAATTGACATGCCATATATTTGCTGCATTGCAATCTAGCTCAAAAAATTTAATACAAGTACAGTACAAGCAGCTGGATCACATCTTAGCGGCGGCCTTCTTCGCGATTTTCTTCTGCTGCCGTCCTCTGTGTTGCTTTTCGCGGCGCGCCGCCTGCCTTTGTCGCCTCTTTGCGAATTGTTCCGATGACCTGAGGCTCACTCCATGTACTAGCTCAACATGACCTCGAAAATGGTCCACGTGGTCAAACTTCTCCTGCCTGCATTTCGGATGGCCACACCAGATCGCCTCACCACGTCGCTCGGCTGTCTAAGTACCGGCGGGCGGCAATACTTAAACTTCCGCGCCTCAACCGGCAGCTGCTCGTCACTAATGCAGTCTGAGCATTGCGTTGTTTCCATAAGCAGTGGAAAAGGATCCGGCCGGAAATCTAGTTCCGACGATGCGTCACTTACCGGCGACACTTGCTTGACAGAAGCCTCGATCCTGGCTGGCCGTTGCGCGCGTCTAGTTTTGCCTGTTTCCTTCTTATCGCATAGAGCTACCATCAAGTCGATAGCCTCAGCTCTGTGTTTGAACAGCTCCCCATCTGTCCAGCCATCAGGCTGCAGGCAAAGAATCTCGGCCAGTCTTGCCTGTTCCAGTATAATAAGGTCAATTGCTGGCTGCTCGAATTCTTCGTCCACCTCGCCGCGGGCTTGGGCCTCAATGTCACAGGTGGGACGGTATTAGAAATAGTATTCGCGGTATTCTTTCACAGTCATCCTATCGCGCTGTGTCCGCTTGTTTCTGATCTCGTCCATGAGTGTTCGGATTCTCTCATGCTGACTATCCTCGATTCGATACCTTCCCTGCTTAAGCTTTGTGCGCTCCTCCTCCAACTGCGCAATCTCGGGGTCGGGAGGTTGATTCGCCCATACTTCATCAGGCACCATATCCCGACCGGCACGAGGGTCACGCGTGAAGCTCACATGTGCGAACATGCGAAACAGCTGATTTTGCTTCTCCTCCTCCAGGAAAGCATCTGGAGATCAAAGTTGGCGATCTCATTCAGATACGCGCTGAAAATGGTGGCGAACTGAGGGTCATGCCGCATCATCTGGTCGCGGACCGAATTCGGTGCGTCGCCTAGCAAACTTAACATTAGTGTAGATGATGGTGGCGGCATGTACAATCTCTGCCATACCGTTGGCGGCGTTCGCCGCACCTCGCCGGCCAAACCTGGGCGTCCAAGCGTTCTCGTGGCCGGATTCCAGGCTCTGCCGGCCCATATCTTAATTCAGCTTAGAGTAGAGCATCGCCTCATTTTCAGACAACGTTGCACCGTTGATGCGGCGGAAAACAGGGACTTTCAATTTCTCCTTTTTCCAACGGATTGGCATGCAATCTTGAGGACCCCAAACATCCTTCGAGAGCAGACTATCCGCATCGGTTAGGCACGACGCATCGAACGCATGGTCATGTAGGGCCAGCGCGACTATAATCATGACCGCGTCAAATATAAGCCTCTAGTAGGCGTGAAGAAAAAATCGTCCTAACATCTCGCAATTAGCAGTCGGCCAAACGGTAGTGGCGTGGCATATGAGGTAAAACACGCGGCTTCGGCTTGTTGTCTGCTCCTTTGTGGTAAATGAATTTAATGATCATGGCCAGGACAGGCTTTCCTATAGCGGGGTGCCGCACAAGCATCAAGAGAATGTCCTCATAGCAGAGAGCTTTAGGACGGCCTCTCTTCGTTGTCTCTCGTAGAAGCATCTTGTTGAGCTCTTTGGACTACTTGTCTAGCGTCCGATCCGCGCTGCCGTCACCGTCCGCTTCCTATATAACTTTCTGGCCCAAAAATGTTTCTCTAGAGCCATCTTTCGGGTCCTTCCTCTCGTTGTCCACCAACTCTGCAGGTCATGCCCCAGTATAACACAGGAGCTGATAGCAGCCGGTCAACTGGATGCGATGCCGCCCAAGTCTGAACACGCTCGTGTCGTACGCGATGTTGAACGTCAGCATGGCCCGAAGATGTCGACATTAAGGACTGGCTTGCCGTCTACATTTGGCGCTCGGAGGCGGAAGCGAGGTATCAAGACGGTGCGGTGGTACTAGGCTGTAGTTAACATGCATGATTGTGAGCTCCAGCTCAGCTGGTTTCCATACCTTGTAGACTTCCTTCGCATTATTTCTATCCATGTAGCGCCCTGTGACAGTCGTGTAGAGCTGCTGGAACTGGCGGATACCCCTCCAAAGAGCCCCACGATCGCACTTTGTAGTTACCACAGACGAAGAGAAAAAAGTCCATCGTAGTAGCGCGGCTCAGATTAACAATCGTGGCTCGCCAGTCGCCGACATTCATCTCATTGCAGTAGCTGCACCAGGGTTAGCTGTGGGCTCCAATATGGGCTTGTAGGCGATCTCGGCGTACCGTTTCCATCTTCCTAGGATGAGCTCACTAGAGTCTAGGTGGTGACAAAGAATGAACACTCTATTTACCAGTACAAAGTGCTATATTTCCATCTGCTGCAATCTTCAAACCTTACTCGCGAAGTTTTACGCCATGCACGGTTTGAACGTGGTTTTTAAAGTGATCCAAGCTTGTCAGGAAATCACCGAGATGCTGGCATTCAGGATGGCGGCACACAAACCTCTCATTGCCCTTCTCGTGCCGCAGATGAACGTTCTCGACATGGTCCATCATGTGAGAAACACGCTTGAAATTTCTCATTCGAGCTGCAGGAGTCAGTCGCTCATCCCCCACACAGTAGATGCATTGCGTTTTGCCTAGCAGGAGCGGAAAATTTTCGAATGGTTCGGGCTTGAGAACTAGTTTGACCTCAGCCACCCCAGGAGAGGATTCTCTGCTTGCCTCTTGAGAAGGTACCGATCGAACTTGGCGCACTTCTCGGCAGGCGGCGAGGCAAACCATAATATCGATAGCTCTGACTTTGCGGACTGTTATATCCTCGAGACTCATATCCGTACTAAAGTCGCAGAGAATATTCTGCAAGCTTGAGCGCTCTGGCAGCTGATGCTCAACGGCAGGCTCAGTTTTCTCTTCGATAGCCATGCCATTCAGTTTCCTCTCCAACTCTTCATTGTGCATCCGTCGACGGTACTCTTCCTGGTATACTTTGGTCATGTCGCACCTAAATGCCTTCTCTAAGATTCGCAAATCACAACGAAGCTGCGAATACTTTGCTTTGATCTTCTTTGGGGCTGACTTGATATATCCATACTGCTGCCGAAGCTGCATAGATGTTCGCTTCACCTCCCTTGTTAGCTTCACGACCTCTGGGGGAGGTGGTAGTTTTGCAAGCTCTGCTTTCGGGATATCGCGTGGAACTTCTGGGTTGCATCGAATGCTCATGTGCGAGAATGCCTTAGTTAGGCCATCAGCGGATGGGTCTCTTTCAAGATACGCATCTTGCGTGTTGAACCCGACTCGCCGGTTGAGGTAGGCGTTGGCCAAGCACCCAGTCATCGGGTCGTGTCGCATGACCTGGTCCACGACGGGGTTAGGTGCAACCTTCAAAAGGGCATTCGCATTACCGCGCCGCATG